TAAAGCGACGGCTTCGTAAAGTGCATCCAACCTGCCTTCTCTTCTCGAATCGACTTTGCTTCAGACAGCCCTTTTGCCTTCTCTCCTTGACTCGGCTCCCACTCCAGCTCTTCTAGCTTTTCCTCCTCCTCTTCTTCCCATAAAGCGACGGCTTCGTAAAGTGCATCCAACCTGGCCTTCTCTTCTCGAATCGACTTTGCTTCAGACAGCCCTTTTGCCTTCTCTCCTTGACTCGGCTCCAACTCCTTCTCCTCTACCTTTTCCTCCTCGTCGTCGTCTTCCACCAAGCCAAGAGCCTCTCCGGGGGAGAGCAGCTGGGCGACTTCCTCCCCATCTTGGTGCTGCAACTCCTGTGCATCGCCCGTCGGCGTTTCGTCTTCCTCCGTTTCCTGCAGCTCGAGAGCCTGCTCTTCCTCCTGCTCTTCCTCCTCCTCCTCCTCCTCCTCCTCCTCCTCCTGATTCTCCTGACTCTCCTGGATTTCCTTCCGGACCTCTCCCTCCTGGCACGTCGCTCCCGCTGTTCCTTGATCAGCCTGCTCAGCCCGTGACACTTCCGCCTTGGGCTCTGCCTTTGGAGTCCCCTCTGCCGCAGTCATGTGCTCCGCATCTCGCAGAAGTGTTTCCGGCCTCTTTGGAGTCTCCTCCATTTTATCTACATCGCCCAGAGCCGCGACGGAGGCAGGAGGAGGCGTCTCAAACGCGTTCATCGCCGCGTCAAAATTTTGGGCTAAGGCCGAGATGGTGCACACTGCGCTGGGCATGGGAGGCGTCGGTGCTTGGCGCACGGCAGAGTTCGTCTCCCTCGCACGATCCGCCGCCTCAAGCGCTCGCTCCCGGCGACCGAACTCCGTCGCCTCCCTCTTCAGGCCTTGCAGGACACGGCCCAGTTCCTGTCGGGCGTGAAAGCCGCGACCAATTCGCTGGGCTGCAGCCACAAGAGTAGCCCACTGCGCCTCCTTGAGACGCCTGCGGCGGTCTCGGCGAAGTTGCCTCAGCTGCAGCTTGGCGTAGTAGTCGCGGAAGGCGCGCTGAATCTTGGACGCCGCCTGATTATCTACACGCCTTTCACGAATGGCACGTGCCGCATTTATGCGCGCCGTAGTCAGCAGTGGTTGCGCCTCTCTCTTTACGATAATCATTCGTCCAAACGCCTGGAGCCTCGTCGCCGCGTCAATCTTTCGTTGGTGCTCGCGAAGACGCGCCTCCCGTGCCACTTGTAGCTCCCTCAGCCGCTGAAGCTCTGCGCGGGCAAGAAGCAGGCGCCACCATGTCTGTATTTTCTCCGCCGCGGCCTTCCGACGGGCCTCATCGCACTTTTGCCGAAACTGCTTAGCTCGCAACCGCTCCGCGCGTGTCTGCCGTTCCACCTTTCGTGTCCTCCAATGGGTCTGGATAACGATGGCGGCGCACTCGCGGCGTTCCTTTTCAGCCGCAATGGCCTTGGCGACCTCGTGCAGCTTCTGCAGCTCGCCAAACCTCCTCTTGGCCAGGATGCATCGCCACCACAGCTGTACCTTCAGCGCAGCGTGATCCGCGTTCTCCTCGTAATATTTCCTTCGCGCGAAACGGCGCTTTGCCAGCCAAACTCTAGCCAGTTTCTGAAGGCGTATGGCTGCCTTGTGTTGCTCACCGGCAATAACTTCCCGACTTTTTGTCCTCCGGCGGGCCCCCCACCTTGCGGGTAGACGTTGTCGGAACCATCGCTGAATTTGGCGGGCCGCAATGGCCCTTCTAATTTCACGCAGCACATGTCTGCTTCCGCGGAGCTCCCGCAGCTCATTCAAGAGTTTACGGGCCCTGTACATACGATAGGCGCGTTGAATCACTGAGGAACTCGCCTGCTTGCGCTCCAGCTCCTCCTCATCCACCAGAAGCATATCCAGACGATCGGCCATGTACGAAACAAGGTTCTGCCCAGACGGTCGTGATCGAGTTCCCTTTGCATCCGAACGCGCCGAGACTGGAGCAGCGGAAACTTCGACAGAAGCCCTTTGGAGAGCTGGTTTAGTCTCTCGTTCCACCTCAGTCTTGTCCGGCAAGCCACGGGCGGCAACGGATGTCCTTCGGGGCGCTTCAACTGTCTGCCTTGCGTAACCAGCTGCAGCGCCTGCGGCCCTGGGTCGGTCCGTCGCAGGAGTAGCTGACTTCGCCGGCGCAGGCACAGGTGAGTTGGTTTTTGCCTGAGGAGTCAGGGAGCGGGTTGGTTTTGGCTGCACCGCGGACGGAATATTAGTGACGGCCGACTTTGAATGTCCCTTCGAACTGGTTGTCGCAGGGCCCTTCTGCGAGTATATCGGGGGAGCTTTGTTACCGGATGCCCCCGTGGAAACGATTTCTGCAGCTGAAGGGTTTCTGTTGGACTGGCGCGACGTCGGGTTGACTGGAGACGACCTCACAGCGGCCCTGGAGCCCGGCTCAGCAACGCTGGGAACGTTTTTGTGGCTTGAAATGCCTTTGCCGGCGGGTGTCGCGCCAACAACTTTGGAGGAAAAAGGATGCCCCGTGACTGGGACAGTGGACGACTTCCTCGCCTGTGACAGCTGTGGCTGCGGTGGCGCCGCGCTTTGCCTCGGCGGGCCCCGAACGCCCTGCAGGGCATGCGGACTCCTCGCTCTTGTCACCGGAGCCGTGGCGTTGTGCTGTCGTGCCGGGAGCGAAGATGCCACAGGCGGTAGACGGGAGGGTTTCGGCGGCGGCTGCCTTCGCGGGGCTTCCTGTCGTCGTGGAGGCGCCGTGGGGGCCGAAATATTGCGATCCTTGCGGGACTGTGAGTAGGTGCGGTCCGGCACCTCCCGCCTTGCGGGGCGCAGCTTGCGCGGGGTCAGCAGCGCCAACGACCTTCGCGGGGCGGTTGGAGGGTGATAAATGGGGGTCACAGTTATCTTTCGCCGCGCCACGGGGTCCGGCGCGCTGACCATGAAGGGGTGGGGAAAGATGTCCGCAGGCTCCACAGTGTGCTTGAGGGTCTCCTCCAGCGGCGACTTCGAGGGAAACTGCGCATCCGACAGTCTTCCCGTGCGAATGGAGCCGCGGACGGCGTGCCCCGCAGTCACAACCCCGCGGTTTTCGGCATCGGTCATCTTGTGCGCCTGCATAAACCGCAGCATGTTGCGTTCGATGGCCAGCGTCGTCTCACTTATGGGCCCCAAGGTGTTCCGCGCCAAACTAACCGCCGATTGGTACTCCTCCAGGGCGCGCGCAGCGTCAAGCGGCTCAAGCGCCATGGCGAGGTTGTGGTGGGCCACGGCGAGCAGCGAGGAGTCCTCTGGGGCGGAGCCAAGGTTCTGCATCGCCTGCATCGCACTTCTCACGGCGTCTTCGCAGAGTCGCAGCTGGGTCTGGACGGCACTCATGTTGAGAAACGCCACCGGCGACTGCTCCCCCGTGCACTCCATCGAGCGTTGCATGTAAGAAAGGGAGTCGGAGAAGTGTCCACGGCGTCGCTCCATGCAGCCGTAGTTGTTTAACGTCACCCCCCGCAGATACCGTCGCCGATCATCCGCCTCCTGTAGCGGAAACGAGTCAGGCTCCGTCATTTCAATTCCGTATTCGAACAGTGCGGCGGCCGTCTCGTAGTCGTCCTCTTTAAAGCACTTTACACCGTGTGCATTGCTCTTGGCTATGAGACGCTCGGCGGCGTCGCAGAGCTCGCCAATATACATCGGCGTCTCGGCAATCGTGTTTCGCTCCTGGCAGCGAATCTGCAGCGCTTTCTCCAGCAGTTGGAGTGACTCCATGTACCTCCCATTCGCCTCGAAGGCCGCGGCCTGAAGCTCCATACGCACCGCATCCTCGTGGGTCTCTTTACCCGTGACTGGCGCGGTGGGATCAAACAACGTGCCGCCACGCACCGCCGACAGGCTCATTGGGAGACGCAAAAGCCTCTGTGGTCCCTCTTTCCTTCCCTAATCCTTGGCGCCGGCCGCAGACACACACGCACACACCTCCCTGCAGCCACGCAGGTGCACGGCCACAAGCACAGAAACAGAAGCTATAGAAATAGACAGCGCTGATTCTCAATTAATAAAAGAAACAAACATAAGAGGGTTAAAAAATATAGTTTAGGGAAACACTCGCGCAGAGACCCCCCCCCACACACACACACACCGAAGCGGTCAATTTCCTCTAGGGGACACTGCGCGCTTGGGGTACAGGTGGCCTCCCTCCTTCACTATTCTCCTCCTATTTTACTTCTTTCCGTCAATCCCCTCCCCTCACAGCATTACACCTCAGTTTTCTTCATATATATATATATATGCATACATGGCCACATGATTTCAGCAGGACCACTACTGCAATGCAGGTGTGCAAGAGTCTGTGTGGCACAACGCCCGCGCGTTGCAGAGGAGTCCTTTCCTTCTTTTTTTTCTTTTCTTTTTTTTTTGGCTATGCTCCGACGTTTGTATTCGGTTCTTGTACTTCGGTCTCGGTCGTTATGTTACAATGTCCTCAAGAAGAAAAAAATACAAATAAGAAAAAACAAGCAAGCAAAAAACAAAAAAACAGCCCCAAAGATAAAGTAAGTCCACAACACAACCCAGTGTGTCTGGATCCTCGGCACCCGCTTCCCCCACACCTCTCAACCCCCGCCAGCCCGAATGCAGGGGGTTTGTTTCCTCCTCCCTTTCCTTTTTTGTCGCTGGTTGTCAGCTGTCCTCTTGCAACACCGTGGCGTCCGTAATGTCCTCGTGTGTGAAGGTGCGCTCGCCGCTTTGAAATTCGGAAACGGTTGCGTACAGTTCCGGGTGCACCGGTCGCAGCACCCACTTTTGCGTCAGGAGCCCCTCCACCCCCACGGGCCCGCGTGCATGAATCCGACTTGTGCTGATGCCCACCTCGGCGCCGAGCCCGAAGCGGTAGCCGTCGGCGAAGCGTGTGGAGCAGTTGTGAAAGACGCAGGCGGAGTCGACGCGTCTCGCAAACTCGCTGGCGGTGTCGTTGTTGGAGGTGAGAATACTCTCCGTGTGGTGGGAACCGTAGGTGTTGATGTGGTTGATGGCGCCCTCCAGGTCCTCCACAACCTCCACCGTCATGCGCTCGTCGCCGTACTCGGTGTGCATCGACGCCGCGCCGGCACGCGCCAGGGAGGCCGCGATCGCCTTTGGGCCGCCAAATATTTTGATTCCAGCCGCCTTCATCTTCTCCACGAGCGCCCTCGCGCTGCCGTTGTCCACAAGCGCCCGATGAATGAGCAGCGTCTCCGCGGCGTTGCAGGCGGCCGGGTAGTTGAGCTTTGCGTCAATGATAACTTTCGCCGCCATCTCCATGTCGGCGTCAGGGTGGACGTAGACGTGGCAGATGCCATCCGCGTGCCCCAGCACCGGAATGTTTGTCGAGCGCTGGATGTTCCGCACCAACTGATTCGAGCCGCGCGGGATCACAAGGTCAATGTACTCATCCATCTTTAGGAGTTCGTAGACTTCGGTGCGGCTCTTGACGAGGCCGATCACGCCAGGCGCGACTTTGCCCTCCGAGGCCTCCGTCACCGCCGCCACAATCAGGGAGTGCAGCACCTCGTTCGAATGCTCCGCCTCGTGACCGCCTTTCAGCAGCAGCCCGTTGCCAGAGGAGAGCGCCAGGGCCGCGATCTGCGGCATGCTGTCCGGTCGAGACTCGAAGATGACAAGCAGTACCCCGATAGAAGCCGTTTCCTTGCAGAGCACGAGGTTCTCATCCAGCAGGCGGGCACTAAGCACGCGAGCAAGGGGGTCCTTCGCCTCCGCAATCGATGTTATCCCCGACACCAGAGTGTCGATCTTGGCGTGCGTCAGCTCCAGTCGCTTCAGCAGCGGGGTGGCGAGGTTGTGCTCGCTCGCCAGCCGCAGGTCCAGGGCGTTGGCGGACAGTATTTTGTCGCGGTTGCTGTCCAGTGCTTTGGCAACCGCCAGCAGCACATTCCTCCGCTCCGCGTAAGTCAGCGTGTTGAGCTGCCGCGACCCCTCACGCGCCTCCCTGGCGGTCTTCGTCATGGCCTCACACTCCTTGGCCACCGCGGCCTCCGTCGCCAGCAGTTGTGTGGGGTCCCGCACAAAGATGGTTCCGACGTCCGGTTTCCCCTGCAGCAGCTCCCCAATGGTGCCCATGCGACGGCCAGAGCAAATGCACACCGCCGGTACGCCGCCACGCACCGCGGAACGCGCGGCCTCAATCTTTGCGTTCATCCCGCCACGCCCCGTGGGGCTTCTGGCACCAAGAACAACCGAACTCTCTTCGGAGAACGTCGTGATGAGTCGGGCGCTTGGGTCGCTTGGGGGCATGTCGTAGATGCCGTCCACGTCAGTTAGTATAATCAGCAGGTCGGCGTTAATGGTCTGCGCCACCAGAGAGGAAAGGCCGTCGTTATCCGTGAAGGGGTCGTTCGACTTGTTATTGCGGTTGGCGGTGACCGTGTCGTTTTCGTTGATCACCGGCACAAAGCCCAGACTCAGGAGATTCTCCAGGGCGTCGTGCAGGTTCTCCCTGCGATCGTCCGAGAGGAAATCGTGGTGCGTCAACAAGAGCTCCGCCAGGGTGATGTCGAGCTGCTGAAAGACGGTCTGGTACAGGTTCATCAGGTTCGCCTGCCCCGCCGCCGCAAAGGTGTTGTCGCCAATCGAAGAAATCGGTCGGCAGTTGCGGTGCAGGCGTTCAAAGGCGGAGCAGACCATCACGTCCTGACGGCGCAGCACATTTCGCCCCATGCCACATGCACCGCTTGAGACGAACACCACCTCCTTGCCTTCGCTGCAGAGGGCGGAAATCTCCTCCGCGATGTTCGCAATGCGCCGCACGCTGGGGAACCCACTTTCCGTGACAATCGTGGAAGTCCCCGCCTTGATAACAATGCGCTTTGCGTAACGGAGTTCCTTGCGCGAGGCGACCTGGTCGAGGCGCTTGCGCGCAACTGGAACCGGAACGGTGGTCATCACTTAATGTGCCGCGCGCTGCTTGCCCCTTCTTTTGGCTGCTGTTGCCCTCCTGTCTCTCCTTGACTGTCTTTTGTTTGTTGTGCTTCGCCTGTCTTCGTCTTTGGGCCCCGGTGTTGGTTTTCCCTTGTGTTTTGAGTACCTATTGTGCGTTGACCGCCTCTAGGGTTTGTTACTGTGTCTCACTGCAAACTGCACGCAGGGTTGGCAAAGGCAAAGCTTGGGCCCCCCCCACCCACACACACAAAGGCAGAGGCAGAGGCAGAGGCAGAGGCAGAAAAAAGGTGTGTATGTACATTTACGTGAAGATGTATTTATGTGTTTATTTGACTTTGTGTCGACATTCGTGCAGCGCCGCTCGCTCGCGTGCCCACGCGCCTTCTTCTTTTCTTCCATCTCCGCCGCATCCGCCCCTCGCGCCGCTCAGACGGCCAGCTGCCGTTTGTTTGTCAGGACACGCACCAACACGTGTCGTCCCGGCAGCGCGGCGTCCTTCTTGAGAGACGCAGGCTCGCGGCCCTCGCACGCCCGCTCCACGCAGAGCGCCTCAAACCGCACGAGTTTCCCTTCCAGCAAGTTTGCGTGCAGGAGGGCCTCAAACACCTCCCCGGCGGTGCTGCCCGCGCCGAACACGAAGCAGTTTCTCAGGGAGGGCAGCGGCGGCGTCAGCGCGGCGGTGGGGAACACCAGCGCCAGGGGGCAGCGCTGAAGCGCGGCGGCCATCACCTCCTGCACCCCAGTTGTCGCGGCGGTGCCGGCGGAGTCAAAGAAGTGGCGTACGTTGGCGAGCGCCCTTGCATCCGTGGGGCTCGCGACACACTTTTTGCCGCCGCCGTCGTGAGTCGCTTGAAAGGCGCCGTCCCCAGAGACGTAGTGCACAAGGCCCTTGTGCCGCAGTCGCAACAGTTGGCACTCCACCTTTGCGGACATCGGCACAAAAGTCTCGTGGGGGTAGCGCCGCCGCAGCTCGGCGTGCAACTCCCCGGCCACAGACCGCACGTCCGACTTGTTCAGCGCGACGACGATCGGAAACCGCAGACGCACGTAGAGCGCGACAAGATGATGCAGCTCAGCTGGGCCCCATGCAGGCAGGTGACTCATCAGCTCCGCCTCGCCGGTGATGCCTAGGCGTCGCAGTACCCCATCCACGAAGGAGGGGGGACTTCGGTAGCCTGTGAACATCGTTCGCAGCTTCTCCGGCTTCCTCCGGAGGCCGCCCCACTTCGCCCGAAGGTTGTCGTAAATCCAGCTGTGAACCTCCGCACGCACCCACGCGATGTCGTCACACGTGGAGCCCGTTCCTGGCGGGCATGCGGATCCGTCAGCGTTGGTCGCAGCCGCCCCGTCCACGACGTGCACAAGCACATTCGCATCGCACAGGTCGTTGAGGAACTGGTTGCCCCTGCCCTTGCCCTTGTACGCGCCCTGCACGAGGCCGGCGACGTCCTTGATGACCACCGGGTGTCTGCGCAACAGCGCCCCGGCAACCGGCACATGGCCGTACATGGCGTCACACTGCGCGGACGAAGTTGGCAGCATGCAGCACGGGCAGAAGACGGCACCGAAGCCGGCACCCACGTTAGGCTCAATGGTGGTGAAGGGAAAGGCGGCCACCCTGGCGGCCCTGCTCTCACTCTCTGGATCCGTCACGGCGTTAAAAAATGTGCTCTTCCCCGCCGACGGCTTTCCAATGAGGCCAATGGTCAGCTCCAGCACCCCGCCCCGTGAAGTCGCGCCACGGCCGTCCGCAACGTCGGCCGCTGGCTCGTTTGACGCCTGCGGTGACGTCGTCTCCTCAAGCACCCGCTGCGCGCGCCCTTCGGCCTCCACAATACACGCCACTCGGTCCTCGGACTCGGACTCGGCGTTGGCGTCCCACCATGCGCTCCTCTCCTGCGGGTGCTGCGCCGCAGAGCCCTCGGCCGCAGCGGAGGCCCCCGCCTTGGCAGACATCACCGACCGCAGAAAAGCCACGTCGCCCGCCGCCTGTTCACCGGCGAACATCATCGCTGGGAGGAGCATGGCGTTGCCGGCACCCAAATCCTCCCGCAGGAACGCGAGGGTGCTGGCGAGCAGCTGCAGCTTCCAGCGCTCAAAAGCGACGTGATGGTCTGCCGGACCGCCAACCACTTCTAACTTGGGCAGCTCCGCCGGGTACCTTCTCGGCAGAGTCATGCAGAGCCGCAGGGCGGAGAGGGGGGCGTCTGTCGCGGCATCCGAGACCCCGTCAAGCAGAAGCGGCAAAAACACTACTGGGGTCGCACGGCGCTGCACACACTCCTCGCCATACATGGATGACACCATCTCCAGCTCCTCCTCGCGTGCCGCAGCGAGCGACCCGCTCTCCGCATCATCCTCAACGCTACTATTACGATCATTCTCATCCGCCCCCTCCTCTCTGTTAGCCGCAGCTTGTTCCTCCGCAGAGGCAGCGGCGCGCCCGATAAAGGACTTTACGGTCAGCATGACTTTCTGCAGCTGCGGGATGCTGTGGGCGTGGTCGTGGAAGAGGAGTTCCGACTCTGGCTTGCACGCCTCCGCGAAGGAGGCACTCTCCGCCGGGTCCACAATGGTGTCCTTCCTCCCAACGATATGCAACGAGGGCACGGCGCCCAAAAAGCCGCTTCTGCCGCCGTCATGCGGCGGCGCGTGTTGAAGGTACGAAGCCACCAACTCTGGGAAGACACGGCGCGGGTCCGGCGACGCCGCCAGAATAACGCCCTTCACGGGCGGTCCGTACTCCCTCGCCCCGTTCAAGCGCTGCAGAATCACGTAGCGAGCCGCGAGGAGTCCCCCCTGGGAAAAGCCTAGAAGGAAATCGTACGGGGTGCCGCCCGCGGTCATGCAGCGCCGCAGCAAGTCGTCCCCCGCCGCGTACATGTCTCGGGTGCCGTCACCCTTTGGCTCGCACCACGAGCGCGTAGCCACCGCGTCACCGTCCACCTTGTCGCCTGCGAGGACGCAAGGGGCATCCACAAAGTGGAGCTCCGCAACGCCGGAGAGGGCCCCGCAGAGCTTGTTCAGCTGGTGCTCAAAGATCTCCGCCGTCTGTCGGTTTCCATGGAGGCACAAGATCCTGACCATTCGGGACTCGGGCTAGAGGAGAAGCAAAGAAGGAAGCGGGGGACCCCCGCTCCGCGGAGGAGCAAGAGAAACATATTCGCATACGAGGAGGAAAGAAAGAACGGTTGTACTGTCAAAGCTTCCGTCGCCCTTTCCCTCCCCATCCCTACATTTCCTCCTTTCCCCCCCCCCCCTCCCGTTT